CCTCCGTACTGCATGCCCTGTGAGCTCCAAAAGTGCCCCTTCTCCACGCTCTGGACCCTGCTTGTAACTGGAAATTAGTGTGTTTATTTATTTATTTGCCTGCTTATTTTTGAGAGCTCTGTCACAGGTCATTTTAGAATGCTTCCTTAATCATTATGCATTATAATTAATCACTATGCAGTCAACATTTTATTATGCATTTGTATGGGTCATTCTTAAGAGTTTTTGGAAAGGTTCTCAACCGAGCATCTTCATCCTCTGGGCATGGCTGGGAACACGTGAAGCCTCTGTTATCATTATCACTCCAACTGGGCTGGTACAGTAACAGCGCTCCCACAGAAGGCTTAGGGCAATTCTGAGCTGTTCCACTTGTAGTCTGGTTTGAACTTCATAAGAACATGTTCTTGTTCTTGTTTCAGAAGCTCTGGAGAGGCCTTTCAGAGAGAGAATTAGAGATTTGCACTTCACCTGCACAGGAGAAGTGGTTGACAAGTGAAAGTAGATAGGGTCACCCAAGGATGGTGTGTGGAGGGGGAGGGCAAGGTGACCCTGGAGCATGGTCACATTGACAAGGACCAGTCAAGGAAGTACTCAAGAGGCAGAGGAGGGAGGCCAGAGGAGGGGAGAGGGACAGGAAAGCCTATGTCACCAAAACCAAGGGTGGGTGGACGGTTTTCAGGAGGGCCACACAGCTGGTGCTCAGGGCCAAGGACTTGGTGACATTTGCAGTGTTGGCGGATGGTCAGATAGGTGCTAGATTGCATGAGGTCCTCGTAAGAAATGAGGGGGCGGAGCCAGGGGAAGAACCCGCTCCTTCCAGAAAGTCAATGAAAAGGGGAGGAGAAAGAGGGGTGGATAGCACCCTAGGGTCCCAAGTGGATTCTCAGGGCTGGAGAGAGACCCTACTTAGAGGTGAAGAAGCCTCAGTCCACTCAGAGGTAGAGGCTAAAGACAATGGGAGGCTTCCACAGGGGCTGGGGTTCTGGCGTGGAAACCGCAGGGCTCTGACACCCAATGTGTTCATCTGGTTTTGGGTTCTGCTATTTGCCAACACTGCACCTCGGAAAAGTTAAAGCTCTGTTTTCCCCCGTGAACCAGTCCCTTTTTTTTTTTCCTGGTGGTGCTGGGGATTGAACCCAGGGCTTTGAGCATGCGAGGTGAGCACTCTACCAACTGAGCCATATCCCCAGCCCTCCAGGCCCATCCTATATCACCTGATTATATTGCTTTGAGCGTGAACCATGGTCATGGGTGAAGGTGCGTACAACAGCTTAGTCCCCGGCTTCCCAGACCTCATGGTGCAGCTATTACATCTTTTATTATGGAAATGACAGTCATACACCAACGTGGAAGAAGAGCACCGTGAACTCCCGTGCGCCGTCTGGCTGGACCGTCAAGTGGGGACCCATGAGATCACCTGTATCTCATGCCTCCTCTTACTCAGTTCTTTTACATACTGAATCTCCACCGCACACCTCCAGTCGACCTCCCAGCGTCCCTTTTCAACTCCATGCACTGGAACTGGTTGGTACGTCTCTCCCCTTTAGTTCCCTCCCTCCCTTCTCCCTCATCTTTTGTTTTGGGTTTTCATATCCCACACACTGCTTTCCCATGGGTCATTCTGCACGTTTCTCTGCTCTCTGTAAACTGGTAGTCAGACTTCAGGACTTGATCAGCATGCAGTTGGATTATGTTGGCGAGACTGCTCCTCACAAGGTGGCTCTGTGGAAACATGGGCGTCTTTTTCTGAGTCTACAGATACTGGTGACCTCTGCTTAGAACATAGCCGTGAATTCACTCTGGCATTGCAAATACCATTTAAAACACAATTTTAATATTTATAGTTATTCTGGATGTAAAAACCCTCCATCCACCCAAAGACACGGAATACTGCCTACAGAGTGAAAGTGCAAATTAATTCTTTATTCAAAAAATATTGAGTTCTCCTCTACTCCAGGTGAAGCCTGGCTCTCAGTGTTAAGAAAAGAGAACTGTAAAAAGGCCTGGCTAGGCCCGGCACGGTGGTATGTCTCTGTGATTCCAGAGATTCAGGAGTCTCAGGCAGCAGGATTGCAAGTGCACGAGGGCTGAGGCATGAGGCACAGGCGTGACCAGGAACGTCTGGACTCCTAGGACTGAGTGGTGCTTGAGGAAGGGAACGAAGCACTGAAATGACTTTAGGAATGATGGATTGTCATGCCAGAAAAGTCACATGCAAGGTACAGAATGCTTCAGGATGTCGCCCTGTAATGAACTCACAGCTGAATGTAGGTGTGGAGTAAACTGGAGTTGTTACTTTCATTTCTGTTTTCAGCATTACATTAGAATCCACCTCCTCCTTCCCTCTTCACTAGGATAGTTGGGTCCCTGATTTGGATGGACTCACTTTTGAACTCCCAGTGTGTCAGGGTGATGGTCTTGTTTGGGGGGGGGGGCTTCCTGGTTGTTATGCTCGGTGTCATCCTTGGGTAGCCTTCCATCTGGCCACGCAGGAGGACCAGGTCACCCGAGAAGCCACAAGCCACATCTGAGGCAAGGCAGATTCTGCAGGCCTCCGTGGGTCTTGCTGTTCATCTGCCACCACCACTCGGTCCCGCAGGTCATCCGGAAGGGACCATGGGGACCACTCTGTTCTTCCAAACCCACTGCCTCTCCTGTGTCTTCAAGCCTAGTGTGAATCTGTGAATAAGTGGGCCTGGGTCCTTATACAGAGCCTGTGCTGTGACCTCCCTGCACCCTGCTCTCACACGGCCACCTCCATCTGTGTCCCCAAGGCCTGGATCTGTGTCACTGGGGATCCCCATTGCTTTATGGATTTATCCTCTGTGAAAATGCAGATATTCCTGAGGAGGACCCCACTTTGTACCTGAGTCAACAGGTGTGGGGTAGCTTCGTGGGCGCAGGTTTGTGTGAGAGAGCCCTGAAGTCAAACAGCAAATCCGCACCGAGGACCTGTGGGCCGCTTACTCCAGGCTCCTGCGTGGCTAGCGGACACACCGCCATTTCCCGTGTGTCCTCTCATTCCCCAGCACGGGGTGCTGCTGTCCGACTCAGCTGTCTTCCTGTGGCCCCTCGTTCCTTCCGTTTCTCTCCTCTTTCTTTCCCATCTTAATTTTCATTTCCCTTTTTCTTTCTTTGAGCTGTAATTTTCTTGTTCTTTTCCCCATTTTTAAATGAATTTTCTCCCTCTCCACCTTTTCCTTCCCTTTTCTTGTGTTGGTTTAAAACTTCAGATGAAGCGTTTCGATGTGCTTGTCATGTGGCTGAAGTGTTGACTCGGGTGCACAGTTGCATGGTCACAGACTGAAAAACCGAGGGTTGCGGCTTCTCTTGACGTTCTGACACCTGGAACCACTGGCTGAAGCTGACTCTCAGTGGGAGTGAACTGTGGTACGCACAGTGTTCTCACTTAGCGTAAAGACAGGGAAGTGTCAGATAGTAAATCTTACTGTGTGTTACACATTCCTTCTCCGAGGCTCTCACATGGCAGCCCCGTGGCCCATGCCTGGGATCCCAGCCACTCCAGAGGCCGAGGCGGCAGGAGGGGAGACCACATCTCTAACTGTGCTGTGTCCTTTCCTTCTTCTCTTCCTTTTTATCTCCTTCCACCCATCGCTCCTCGGTTGTTGTCACTGTTGTTCCTCTTGTAAGTCAGAGGCTTCTGGCCACGCAGAGCACAATTGTGACACAGATGACAGACACCTTCCCCTCTGCGTTTCCTCTGTTGCCCACCAGCTCCGCGACCTCACCCCTGCTCAGGCCTCCTTCCCCCTCAGATGTTGGGTCAAAACCCTGGGCTGGCAGCAGCAGCGCCATCAGAGGAAGGAAGGTGTGATCACTGCAAACAGGTACACCTGCTGCTGCTCTGGCTACCAGAATTTTGAGAAATCATTCCTTCAGTTCATTCTCTACATTAGGTTCACAACCTTCTTGGTCTCAGGACCCTTTTATACTCTTCAAAATTATTGAGGCACCCACCCCAAAAGCATTTGCTTACACAGGCTGTAGCTATCACACTACAGTGCTGGAGGTTAATGCTGAGCACAATTCCAAACACATGCATGTTCAAGCACACATCCGTGGGCGGTCAGAGCCTCTGGCCGAATCTGCTGTATACTTGGGAGAGATCAAGAGTGAAGAGAGTCCATTACATCTTAATATTACTTTGAAAATAAGTTTGACTTTGCAGATTTCCAAAAGGGACACAGGGACTCCATGGGGTACATAGAACACACTAGGACCTGTTACTTCAGGTATTTAGGGCAGTTCCTGAATGCTTGTGCTGGAAATTCCAGAAATGGTATCGGGAGTGGGGAGAATATTGGAGAACTTTCATGGTACCAGGAATTCACTCCATGTGTAGTCTCTACTGAGGCACAATACAAAGCATATATGTCTAAAAAATGAGTTTATGGATATATTCAATGAAAATGATTTAGTACCTTTTTAAAAAAAATTTTGTAGTTATAGATGGATAGAATGCCTTTATTTGCTTATTTTTATGTGGTGCTAGGGATCAAACCCAGTGCTTCACACATGCTAGGCAAGTGCTCTGCCGCTGAGCTACAGCCCCAGCCTCTAGTACCTTTTTTATAACCACTAAAATCCTAGTTGGTATGACTCTAATCTGGAAATTTTGATACTCACAGTCAGATCCTGAGTCACTGGCTCAGCATGACTGCAGGAGTGTTGTGAAGTTCAGACTCATGATAAAATCACTGAAGAGAAAAGTGCCAAGGGTTTTGGTTATATTTCTCATTATCTGGTTAACCAAGAAACACTGCAAGACTATGTGTGAATGTCCAGTCCTCTTTTCTGACTACCAGCCTTTAAGAAGTTCCTTTCTCTTGCAAAAATGCAATATAAAGCCATCACTTACCAAGGGTGAAACTCCATTAAATATCATCGCTAACCATTTTGATAGAACTTTCTGGGTGGCTTCCACCTCTGAGTCCAACAATGTGACTACCTAAGTCTAATCACTTGCTACTTCTTTTCAGATAGTTTTGAGACAGATGCACCATTGAATTACCACATCGTCTCAGAATCTGGAAAAAATGTCACACTCAACTGTCAGCTTCAGATGGATGGGCTGGTGCATCAAGTCACCTGGGAAAAGATCCAGCCCTATCAGATAGACCTCCTAACCTGCTGCAACTTGTCCCAAGGGAGGAGTTACACCTCAAAGTACCCCAGGCAAATCCTTAGCAACTGCAGCCAGGGCAGCAGGAGCAGCTGGCTCCTCATCCCGAATGCCACCGCCTCGGACTCCGGGCTGTACCGCTGCCGCTTCTCTGCCCGCTCTGGAGAAAATGAAACCTTCGTGGCAAAACTGACCATCACTGACGGTGAGTGGGCCGTGTTTTCCAGGGGCAAAATGGGAAAAAGCCAAGCATTGAGGATGGGTTGCTGCTGTTCTTTCTGTGGTGCCTGCATTCATTTAATGAGATGCTACTGTTCAACCGTGTTCTTAATGGTTTAGTTTGGGCACATTTATCATTATTCTAGGATTCAGGATCTTTTTATCTCACTAATCCGTTTAGCACAAATTGTACAATAAAAAAAAAACAAAAACATTTTCTATTTTTTTCATCTTCCATGTTCCTGAAATCAAGAAAATCAAAACCAAAAGCGTGATGTTACAGGTCCTGTGTTTCAATCTCATTACTCCTACCTCACCAGATTCTATTGATATTTTTGTTGCAGGTGATAGGGTGGTATCATCCCTCGGTAACCCCAGCAGTAACGACACAGTGCTAGGTCACGTGTAAGTTGTTCTCGGGGTGACTGGAGGCACGAGCTGGGGGATCATGTGGTTGCTGCTGGGCCAGAGCAGAGCCTTTTCTCAGTTGGTTTCAGACCTGAGCACAGAAGCACCCTGACCTTGAGGCTCCCTGATCTGACTTTCAGGGTCTGCATCTGAGTGGTCCCTTGCTTTCTTTCCTATGCTTTTGGCCAGTTTCTTGATCTTGGCTTGTGTTTGGACATTTGGAGCCAAGGCTCCCTAGGCTTTGGCTACGCCTTTGGCCTCAGATGACACTGCAGGCTGATAGTCCTTCCTGAAATGGAACTGAAGGAGAAAGGCTATTAACCACAGCCTCAGCCACTGCACCTGCTGGGGCCCTTGCAATGAGGAAATGGCTGGAGGAGAGGGGATTTCCATATGCAGACACTCTATTTATTTATTTATTTGTTCTAATCAGTTATACCTGACAGCAGAATGCTTTTCGATTCATTGTACACAAATGGAGCACAATTTTTCACTTCTCTGGTTGTACACAAAGTAGGGTCACACCATTTGTGAAATCAGTCATACGTGTACCTAGGGTAATGATGACCATCCCATTCCACCATCTTTCCTATCCCCATGCCCTTTCCCCTCCCCACCCACCCCTTTGTTCAATTCAATTTCTCCACTTGTCCCATGCCCCACCCCCATGTGAATTAGCATCCACTTATCAGAGAAAACATCCGGCCTTTGATTTTGGGGGATTGGCTTCCTTTGCTTAGCATGATATTCTCCAACTCCATCCATTTATCTGCAAATGCCATAATTTTATTCTTTTATTGCTGAGTAATATTCCATTGTGTATATATACCACAGTTTCTTTATCCATTCATCTATTGAGAGGCAGCACACCAGCCTCCTCTGTCCGTCTCGAGGATGGTGGAAGCCTGGCATGAGATACACATTGAACTTAGAACTTAATGTCAAAGAACGGTGTTAGAATATTTTGGAGAGGGAAAATGAGCAGAGCTTCCACATTTTAAATGTTGATCGTATTTCTGTAGACATAGAAAAATAGTTCTTACTTAAAAAAATCTTGCATTACAGAAATAGTTTTTGAACCTGGCCAGGAAAAAAAAGTGAAAACAGATACTAACTTTTTCTTAAAGACTAAGGCAAGGAAATGTTCTATTCAGAAAAAAAAATGTCATAATCATTTAAAAACATAGGAAATAAGGCCTTGTCCATTGTGGGCTGAAAAAGTAATTAGAAACATCTTAAATCACAGAGAAAATGAAGGTAAGAGATTTTTAGGAGATAGTTATTTAACTTTTACTAATTAATAAACCTGTCTTTGATTTGTCCAAATATGACTAAGTTTCTTGCAGAAAACTCTTTTTGTGTGTGTAAATTATAAACAATTTCAAAAATCTGCCAATGAAATGAAGGTGACAGTGTAATGATGGGTACTGTAAGGGCCCATGAGTTTTGAACAGCTGCAAAATGGCTTTTTGACATCCAATTGACAGATTGCAAGAATAACAACTAGACTTATATCCATTAGTAGAAAAGTAAAATTGATGAAGATGACAGCTATTGACTGTATGTTTTGGCTTAATTCTTTTTTCAATTATTATAAGTAAAGACTGAATCTAAAAAAACCAGTCTGGAAGCAAAATAGGTCATTTGTGTTTTGTCTGGTGCAATTTGATTATTTCAAGTCCTGAGGCTGTTTGGTCAAAAATCAATGTAGAGATTAAAGCAGAAAGACAGGTATAAGATTTGGAACAGATTTAATTTATTTCAACTGTCCAGGGAAAGGTGATTGTGACACAAATTTTATAAAGTGCCATACATCCTTTTGTTAGTTCCCATCAACTTCTTTTATAGGACGTACGATTGGATCCAAAAGAGAGATTTTTAAGACTTAAATTTACACACGCACACACATACACACACACACGCACACACACACAAACACAAATATATACACACTCCCCTGACTCTGCCTGCCTGTGTTCATTAGACAAGGAATCATTTAGTCAGAGGTCACCCAAAAGATTTTGTATAATCCCCAACCAATAACTATATAATTGCCAACCAATACGTCCTATATCCAGGCCTTCCTGTGATTTGTGCAGAGGAGGAAGATGGCAAGGCGTGAATTGACTTGCCTTCGACTTCCTTCTCTGAGTGAAAGGAAATGCCAACGTCTTAGCAACACCACTCAGGGGCTGGAAGTGTATGCAGTAGTTCCAGATTGACCTTTCTGAACTTGAAACTTGACCAGAAGGGTAAGGGAGGGGAGAAAAATGTGTGTTTACTGATACCCAACCAAAATTATTTTTGGTCTTTGATAGCCTCCAGATTTTCAGTAGTCATGAGAGAGGTATTTCAGGTAACTCCAAAAGAAATTATGGAATCAGGATATTATTGTTTAAATTGAGCTTATTAAGTATAACAAGATTGAGGATAAAATAAATGAAATTGGCTACCACTGAAGGTTCCAAGAGGAGACTAGTTTTGAATAAACTTCGGTTCACATACTTACTCACATCCTTCTGTGATCTTCTTCCACCTATGAGGCCATGTGACCAAGCCACCATAGGTCAAATGAGGTGTGTGGTGAGTGGGGCTGATGAGGGAGGATATGCCGATCATGGAGGGGTGAGGGGTGAATAGGGAGAGGGGGCCGTGTGGGTGATGGCAATCAGATGAACAAATTGGCAGAGAGTCTAAGTTCTGGGTCAATGTGGGATGAGGTAGGTTAAGTGACATATTGACTTGGTGGAATTCTGGATTTGTGGAATAGTCAAAGAAAACCTTTGCTGGTTCTTGAGCAAAGATGGCAGAATAACTTCAAGGAAGAGTGGGTTGTCTCTAAGTTTCAGAGTAGAAGACTTCCACCCCTTTGGTTAGGTTTAATCCTAAGTATTATTTTATTTTTGTTATTATTGTAAATGGATTATTTTCTTCATTTCTTTTTTGTATTATTTGTTGTATATAGAAATATAATGGTTTTCTATTTCTAACCTGCTACTTTCCTGAATCGTTTATCAGTTCTAGATGTTGTATATGTGTGGTCTCCAGAATTTTATACAGATGTGATTATATCATCTGCAAATTGCTCATTTTACTTTACCTTTCCTATTCAGATGCATTTCCACCCCCGCCCCCCCCCCCTCATGTCTAATTGCTATGGCTAACTCGGGCCTCTAGGTCTTCATTGAGTACAAGAGCTGAGACTGGGCACTCTTGTCTTATTCCTGATCTTAGAGGAAAGGTTCAGTTTTTCACTGTAGAGTCCTTTCACATGGGGCCTTTATTATTTTGGGGTAAGTTTCTTCTACGCCTAGTGTAAGAGTTTTTATCATGAAAAGATATTAAATTTTATCAAATGCTTTTTCTACTTCTATGGAGATGATCATGTGGTCTTTGATATAATTTTGTGAATGTGGTGTAGTATATTGATTGATTTGCAGGCCTCGAACTGTTTGTGCATCCCCCAGGGATAAATCCTGCTTGATCATAGCATTTAAACTTTTAAACAAGCTGTTGTGTTCGGTTTGTTAGTATTTTGTTGAGGACTTCTTTATCTATATTCACTGGGGGTATTGACTGTAGTTTTCTGGTGGTGTTGTCTGGTTTTGTTATCAGAGCAAAGCTATTCTCATAAGATGAATTTGAAAGTGTTCTCTCTTCTACTTTTTTGGAAAAATTTAAGAAGAGTGGTTTAATTCTACCTTGTGTGTCTGGTGGAATTCATCTGTGAAGCCATCTTGTTCTGGGAGGGGTGATGAGCCCCAGGCCCCAGGTCTACCTTAGCTGGGCACAAAATGGCCCAGACAAATGGAGGGGAGAGGGGTGTCACTAAAACACCTCTCAGCCAGCTCTGCCACTCACCCTGCCCTACTTTCCCCTTCTCCTAACCAGGCTTCTGTTTCTCACCACATTTACCTTCTCTCCACGGAGGGTCACTCAGTCCCTCGCTGTCTTCATGTCTGTGTGAGCCCAAACTGCTTACGGTCTTTGAACCATTAAGCATCTTGAATTTCTCAAACTTTGTTAACTTAAAGACTGCCACCTTTAAATGACTCAATAACTGCATCTGCCTTTATGGTCCAGACTCCTAACAAAAATTGCTGGAGGTTAGAGATTAGGACGCCTTTAAAGTTGTCCAAGTGTCTTTCTCACATGTGGTCACCAAGGGTTCCTGACTGATATGTTAATATTTCTACTGATTCTGGTAGGAACCATGTCCACCTTAGCTTTAAGTTTCCTGGGTAGATTATTTTGAGATTTTCTTCATCAACACTTAACATTTGAGGTTTAGCGATTGGTTACCAAAGAAAAGGAGATTTCAAAAGATCAGTTGCGATGTCTGTGAAGAACATTTGCATGATCTTTTGTTTATATATCTAACTTTTAGAAAGGCTATTTGCTCTTTAACTTTTCATTTTCTTTATTTTTGTTCATTTTTTTTAACATAATGGTACATATTCGCTAGTCTCAAGGGCTGGAGGATGGGATTTGTAAATTAAGATTATAGGAGTATTCATTAGGAAATGGTGCTTCCGCAGCCAAGGGACTCTTCCCACATATTTCTTCAGTAAGGCTTGG